AACTACAGGGGGATCACACTGTTGAACACAGTAGGAAAAGTGCTCCGTAAGCTGCTGAACGATAGGATAGTGGGAGTATTGGAGGAGAAACATAGCATTAGTGAGGGCCAGGCAGGTTTCCGAAAGAAGACGGGGTACGTAGACCACGTATTCACGGTAGGGAGAATCATCCAAGGTAGAAAGAGGGCGGGAAAGCCGACGTACTGCTTCTTCCTGGACGTGAAAAATGTTCGTGGGTCTGCGAACATTGGTGTTGGATACATGTGCTGGATGATTTTGTGTCACGCAGACTCGTAAGATTACCGTTTTGGTAGTGGGCAACGCGATGATTCACGGGGCCCCTCCTTGCTGTGGGCAGTAGTCTTCACGAGTCCAAATAATGGCACTACAAACGTATGGGCTATATGGAAATGTTTGTTTCTTGCTTTCGAAATTGCATTAATTGGTCGTACCCCCCCACGCTTGAACAGGGGGGGGAGAGAAGAGCGGAACTCGGGGATCTCAACCTATCCCCGTCCACAACACCATCAGTATAAACCAGTCACCGCACCATCAGGCATACTCTCAAAGTCATGCCTGCCCCCCTTTCTTCTCTCCAAATTGCACGCATGTTCCGATATACCAACCTCAATATACCGCACATGTACCACATTGATTGTGATGCACCGTGAAGAACACCACTGCGTGCCCATGTCTAGTCGCGCTACCTCGTCAAGCTCATCAACGGTCGCACACACGCGGTACCTCGCGAACCCCCACGTTGGGTTCGCACCCGCCCCCGCTCCCGACCGCCGGCCCACGGCTACGGCCGACCCTGTCGACCATAACCAATCATCCAGTCACTGTGCACTCGCCGCTCGTGGCACAGCAACTTAGGCGCTCTCACCCGTACTGAGAGTACCGCCAACATCCCTAGCGCGACAGACGCACCCGGGCAAGGATCATCTACCCAAACACCCTCGCCCCATCAGCAGTATCGGCAAACGACCACACCTTCCTCATTTACCACTGCTGGCGATCCGTCCTCGCCCTACCACTGACACCCCCAAAAGCAAAAGGGTGGGTGGGTGGGAAAGAAATAGATCTCCTCCGAAATACCTCTTGGCTGCAGCAGCCTCCCTCGTGCTTCCTTGGGGCAGACCAACAAGTGCTCCCAAGTCTACTCTTCTGGTCAGGTTTCAGACACTTCACGCTGACTCCATGCTGCTGCACTCTGATTGGCCAACAGATATTTCATCTTCCGCTCCTCACAAAACTCAGATTTCAACGCCTCTGTCTCTGCAATCTTCTGCTTTGTTCGTTGCTTTCGAAATTGCATTAATTGGTCGTACCCCCCCACGCTTGAACAGGGGGGGGAGAGAAGAGCGGAACTCGGGGATCTCAACCTATCCCCGTCCACAACACCATCAGTATAAACCAGTCACCGCACCATCAGGCATACTCTCAAAGTCATGCCTGCCCCCAACCTAACTGCGGACTGGTTTCCATACTGATCTGTACTCTCTCTCCCCCCCTACCGTGGTTCCCACTCTTGTACCGACCAATAAACCCTGATCGCATTCACTCCCCCCTCCTTTTACGGCTCGCCCTCACCAGCCTCGGGGACTACGTCACCCCACTCTGTACCCTGTCCTGGTTGCCTCTCTGAATCACCCTCCGACGCCAAGGTACTAGAAACCCACTCTGCATCTTTCCCATGGTTCCTTACGTACGGCCGATACCCCGATTCCCCAGTCCATCTCCCCTCTCGTCTCAGAACTTCTGGCGACGCTCCCCCCGCTGCCAAGTACGTGGCGCCCCCAATCCGAAGGGAATGCAACGCGTCCTCTGACGACGGCAGACCCACTAACGACACGACTTGCCGCAGCGCTTCCGTCGCGTGACGACGAGTCCACCCGGACCATCGCCCCTCCTCGGTTCCGAACGCGACTAACGGAGCAGAAGA